TTTTTAAAGATAAAGTTTTCTACCAACAAAATTGTTTTATATTACATGTTGATTTATCGATTTGTGTATAATAAATATAAATGAAAAAACATAGATGACTTCCTGACATATGAAAAATGTCTAACTCTCCAAGGATAAAAAAAATACATATGATAAAGATCAGATTCAAGACATTTTAACACTGAACGTTAAGAAGTAACCCCAACTTGCACTTCTTATTATAAGCAAAGAATCCAATGTACCTTTGAATTGTTTCCAAGATTCTTTGCTTGCTCTTTCCCATCTACTGCCCCACTTTTCTTGGTCTTGTATCTCAGTCTTGGATTTAGCTTTAAACACCCTTTTTCTTCACTCTATTGTTCTCATGTTGATTTATTTGAATGGAAAAATGGAAAATAAGCTATGTAGGATTCAAGATAAAACAGCTCTTAGAAGAATACTCTTAGAAGAACTGGGACTGATACCAGGAATGGTGGTAACTAAAGAGAGAAGGCAAAAGAACTAACATGTTTTGATCCGTCTACTATGGGCCAAGGCAGTATTATGGATACATACAAATAGCAGAGAAAGACATTTTAAAACATTGATTGTAAAAGAAGCTTATTATTATTATTACTGTATTTTTTTGTTTGGCAGTGTCTCTCACTCTATTGCCCAAGCTGGACTGCAGTGGCGCGATCATGGCCCACTGCAGCCACGACTTCCAGGGTTCGAGCCATCATCCCACCTCAGCCTCCTGAGTAGCTGGGACCGCAAGTGTGCGCCACTACAGCAACTATTATTTTCTTGTAGAGACAGGGTCTCACTATGTTACCCAGGCTGGTCTTAAACTCCTGAGCTCCAGCAATCCTCCTACCTTGGCCTTCTAAAGTGTTGGGATTACAGGCACAAGCCACCACACCCAGGCTATTATTTATTTCTTGAAGAGTCACTAGAGTAGCCCTATTCTTTATACAAATGTAAGACAAGCAGGAATGTTTGCCCTGTAATGAGGGTATAGCAAATATCTTTTATGACTCCACTGCATCTGTCACTCACTGTGATTCTGGGAATGTGAGGCTCACTACTGGCTCAAAGGTAGATCAATTTGCATAAGAAACCCAGAGGCTTCTGGGAGGGGAAAAAATCTTATTTTCTCTGGGGATGTACTACTCCCTCTTTCTTTGAGATGTGAGTACTACTGAGAGAGAGAAGGTAGTCTTTATTCATCCAAGGGCCAGTGGTAGGGATAGGCAGCATGTCTCCTAAGATTAATGTAGAGAAAGGTTATCTGAATTGGTAACTCCAACTCTTGGTACTCAAATTAAAAAATAATACAGAAGTAAGTAGAATAATAAATATATTTATACTTTTTTCCACATAAGAAGTTAAATAATAAATACATTTGTACTCTTTTCCACATAAAGATTTAGTTGAGATTGGGCATGGTAGCTCATGCCTGTAATCCTAGCACTTTGGGAGGCCATGGTGGGTAGATTCCTTGAGCCCAGGAGTTCAAGACCAACCTGTACGACATAGTGAGACCCTGTCTCTATAAAAGAAAATAAATTTTATCCTTCTCCAGAACAAAACACAACTCTCACCTCACATTGGATTTTCCCCTCCCTTACCTTCCATTTCATGGAAATTTAGCTCTAAATTTTTCTCTGTTATGACACACTTCTACTTCTCAGGAAAATTACCTATGTGTAAAATAGTGTTGTTTACACCTAAAAAATAATAATTTGGAGTTAGTAGAAGTGAATAAAGCAAGAGGTGTTCAAATCCCATACTGTCTACTCCATGGTCAGACTTCCTCATCCTAAATCCTGACTTTGTTTACCCTGACCTTATCTGAATATTTTTTACCCTTGATTTCCTACCTCAAGTTCCATTTTCCTTTTGAAATCTCACCAGCCGCCTCACTCCACAGAGATATTTTTCTGCTTCTGAATTTCTGTTATATTTACCACTTATTTTCATACTCTCCCCTATGGTTATATTTTAAGTATGTAAATTAAAATTTGAGTTGGAATTCATTTGAAAGCAGTGGCAACATTCTAGATCTCTCTGAACTCTTCCAAGGGGTTAATGTGGTGTTCTATATGTAAGCTGAACATTAGGTTGAAACTCAGTTTTCTCAAAATATATGAGTTCTTCTCCTCCCTCTTTGGCTTTGTTTAGCTTAGTAACAGTCATGGACAACTGCATGTGAATCTTATGGCTGTTATTGGTCAACCTAGCAACCATGCCGGTTCCCAAGGATACAAACTCTGTAGGCACACCCTTTTGGTACGGTAATGAATGAAGCTAAACAGGTAACCAAAATCAAATGTCAATATTAGAACTACTGTATAATAAACTGGCTTTTTGGTCTCTGTAGGAGTAATTATTTCCCTCTCTAAATCAAACATTTTGTGTTAGTCATACAAAACAAACATCTTAAACTTTTATAAAATGAAATAATGAGGACATGTAGAGAAGTCTTAGAAATAATACAACAACTAACCATGTACACATAAGTCAATGTTAACTAGTATTATCATTAAGCCATTTTTCCTGAGAAATAAAACATTATAGAACTTAAGCCTTTCTCTGGGTGTGGTGGCTCATGCCTGTAATCCCAACATTTTGGGAGGCCAAGACAGGCAAAATCACTTGAAGTCAGGAGTTGGAGACCAGCCTGGCCAACATGGTGAAACTCCATCTCTACTGAAAATATAAAAATTAGCTAGGCGTGGTGCCGCATGTCTGTAGTCCCAGCTACTCAGGAGGCTGAGGCACAAGAATGTCTTGAACCTGGGAGGCCGAGGCTGCAGGAAACTGAGATTTTGCCACTGCCTTCCAGCCTGGGTGATAGAGTGAGATTCCGTCTCGAAAAATAAAAATAAAAGAATTTGAGCCTTCCCAAATCATTAACCGTCTTCTTTCTCCAGGCTAAAGATGATATGCATAATTTTCCCATCCATGTTTGTATGTTTTTTTAAACATATATGTATACATTAACACTATGTAGTATGATTTTGAATATTTACAAATGTTACACAATTGTTACATTAAAATTGTAATCTGCAAACTGCTTTTTATTAACTATTATAATTTTATTAAAAATTAAATCAGTTTCTTAATTTTT